TTTTTTTTTTTTACATTGGTTTAAAATCAATATTTTAAAAACTACACTGAAATAAAGGTTTGATTTTATATTTTTATTTTTGACATAAAATATGAAAATAAAAATATGAAATAAAAATATGATTTCTTTGAAAATGTGATGCAATAAAAATTACACAGATATACAACTGACACCAGATATTTAGTGACAAATATATTATATTAAAACACACTTAATGTTCTTTTCCCAATGGCCATATGTGTTAAGATGTTGCTTCAGTAATTTCTGTTAATGTTCTGATGATGTTTTCTTTTTTATAAAGAGCACCAAGCTGTCCTGCATCACAATGCTAACACAGCATGATGCTACCACCACCTTACTTAAGAAACAGAATGATATCGGAAACTTTTCAATTATTCTCTACATGTAACAATGGTCATTATAGCCATACACCATTTTATTTTAACCAGAGTAATGTACATTATGCCGAAAAAGTGTGAGTCATCTACTAAGCTTAGTTTAGTAGATGATTAAATTGAGTTTAGGAAGTATTGTAGATGTCAACAATTATGTTTCTGATGAAAAAATATTCAATGATTTCAGGTTTAAGCTCTGACCTCCATGTTTAAATTTGCAGTTGTTTGTATTGGCTGTTTTAATGGAAGAAACAGCCATTTTGTTTCTGAGAATTTCTTTTTTTCTAATTTTAATGGAAATGTGTGGTTAGAACTGTGTGCTTATTCTAAAATAAGTGTCCTTGATGAGGGATACATGTAACTTTGATATTAAAATAAGAATTATTTTCCAGTGGGAGGTTTGTTGCCAGCATATGTGTAAGACGTTGCCTCCAGTCTGTGGAAATGGTACTTTAGAACAGTGTTACAGGAAACCCATTGTGAAGTGTATTTGAACAAAAATCTGCCCTTCATTTTGACTGAGTTGCAGTGATCCAGAGTGGAGACTGCAGGAATGTTCAGTACAGGAATGACCACAGCAGAACTTCACTAATAAAGACTTTTTGGCACAGCGGCCAAACAAAAGCAGTTTTTCAGCAAAAGGAACACAATAGCAAGCCTGAAGCCTAAAAGGCACAGCGACAGGATTAAATTATCTTTGGGAAAAAAGACTTTAAGAAATTCCAAGATGAAAGAAACAGAGGAAAAACAGTTTTCCTTGTAAAGGAAAAACAGGCAAAGAATAGCACATAAATATCCCCACAAAACTTACGCAAAACTCTTTTCAGATTCCACAGATCAAATACTTCTACACTAATAAAAAGACATTTACAACAGTTTAATATGTGAATAAAGGTTAAATTAAAAATAAGATTAATTTTCCAGGGAAAATATAGGGTTTCTTTACCTTCCTCTCTGGCCAGTTATACTTCTCGAAGATGGTATCGTATGTATCGACTGCTCCATCTGTCACCAGCATAATGGCCTGGCTACACTCACTGCCCCTCCCAGTCTTATTAAACTGGAATCAGAGAGAAAATGACACTGAGGTTTTGCATCTTAAGAAAACAAACAAGTTGTCCAGGACCTGAAAAAGTAAATCGGCAGCAAATCGGCCCCGGTCCTTCACAATGCCACCACCCTGATGATGGGTGGTGTTGGTTCTCGAGATCTTGTGGCTTACTGTATTACAGATTTCAGTATGGTCTTGGTAAGTGAAATTAAACCAAAAAAATAAATTTGGAAAAAAAAAGAGAGGGGAAGAAATAGGTAAAAAAATAAATTAAAAAAACATTCTTTTTCACAGCACTGTATATATAAAAAAAAAAATCTGCACATTTAATCACTTCAAGGCCATGTCATTAACTTCCTGCCTACAGGATAGAATATATTTCAGTTGCAACAATGAAGCAAACAGAACAGAATAATATACATAATACTATGGACATGAGGATATTACGGATGAAAATGTTTCACAAATGCAACATTGCCTGCAGTGAAACACATTTCAAGCTGTTGTTGGTATTGCAGGATATTTACACAGATCATTGCTTGCCAGATATGATTACACAGATCAAGTTAATAACTGCATGTGTGTCTACTTGTTTGCATGTAAATTTGATTAATTGATGGTTCCTAATGACAACAACCTGAGTCATCAAGTACCTTGTTTACTGATTTTTTTGGTACTGATCCTACAAACCGAGCTATTAATTACAGTCTTAATTAAATTTGAGCATAAAACCGTTGTTCAGGTGAGTATGTGTCTGTGTTTGTGTGTGTGTGTGGGCGTAAATAACGTTCCTCTGTGAGTCACTTACATCACCGAGAAGATTGAACGCCTCCGTCAGAGCCATGTCCAACATACCAATGCCTTGAGCAAACAGCTTATCGAGGTGCTCCCGGAAATGCTGCAAACATGAAGTTTGGTGAGGCAGGATTTCAGGTCATGCTGACAAATAAATAACTGAACTACAAATTACAGAAGATGCTAGACTGTTTTTACACAGAAAACAAGTCTGAGGGAATCATAACAATTATCAATATAAGAACAGACTGATTTAATCTTTTCTAAACATAGCTCATGCTATTTTACACAATTTATATAAACTGTTTGTGTGTGGAGAGAGACAACACAAACAGACTAATGGACTCTTCCAAAAGCTCTGGGCCGAATTACGAGGCTCAACGACCACATTATTTAGAAATGCTTTTTCACATACTGACTGAGATAACTGCCCTTTAATGACCAGGTACCACAATCTTCACTGAACACCCAGTGGATATCTAAAAGAACTGCTCTGCATTGGCCATGTAGGGAAATTCACATCTGGAACCATGTTGTTTAACCCATTTTTAAGTAGCTGCAACTATGATGCAATTATTTTATTAGAAGTTTGTGAAATAGACGAACACAAATAAGCAAATAACTGTGCAGTGAAATGGAAATTGTAGTTTCCAAAATTTATGTTAAATAAAAATTCTGTATGTATGTATGTATGTATGTATGTATGTATGTATGTATGTATGTATGTATGTATGTATGTATGTATGTATGTATGTATGTATGTATGTAGTATCAGACTGAATGAGGAGGAACCTCACATGATGCTACATGTTCACTAATATTTTCTAACAAATCCGTAAAGGCAAAAGAATACAGCAGAAGGTCACGGGTATAGTTGTGCAGAGTTTAACGTAGTTTTTAACACCTGAAAAAGCACTGTTTAATCAATCAAAGGTAAATGAGAAGAATATAACTAGACCTGACTGTCCACCGAAGTTTACAGGTCAGACAAGGACAACATTATTTAAGGTAACTTTGAAAGAGCTGCAGAGAGGTCAGGAAATGTGACAACAACGACTGCTACACTTACTATTGTGCACTCTACAAATCCAAGCTTTATAAAGTGGAGTGGCTAGAAAAAAAGGCCAACATTGAAAGAAAACCATTAGAAGTCCAGATTGCACTTTCCTGCAAGACATGCCAAAGCAATGTTGAAGAAGGAACTCAGACAAAAAAACTGCATTTTTGTGAAAACAGGGGGTAAGTATATATTTTTTTGTGAAGCAGAGTATATATGTCTCCAATATTTCCCTGTGATAGTGTAAACCCATTTCCATCCACAGAAGTGATTACACCTTTATGTACACGTCCAGGTCATGTTGGAAAAAACAAGTTACATCTGACTGGTCTTATAGTGAATGAACAGGTATCTCTTTCTTCAATGATGGACGAAGGAATGTGTTCTAACACTCTGCAGGGGTCAGCAACATGTGTAGGAACATATCAAGAGTATGCTCAGTAGGGAGAAACTGTGCAGCTGCACATACAAACCCACACCAAGCACAGTACACACACCCACACACACAAAAAAAAAAAAACTGAGCGTCTCTTCTAACATTCCCATATTGCAAAAAGACAACCTTTCCATGGATGCCGATAAAAGGTTAATCGGTTCCAACAAAAGACCATTCCCTGGAGCATAGCAAGCTTTCCCCATTGCCCGTGCATGCACCTGTGACTGCCTGCACGTAAAGATCAAAGTGATTTTTCAGAACACAGCAGGCCATGCTTAAATCCAGCAGAGTATTTAAGTGGCAGACAGAAAATGTGCACATGTTTGAGAGGGATTCAAGTGTGAGTGCAATACTAAATATGCCAGAGCTTTTGTGCAGCACTACAACGACCTGAAATGAGAGCTGGACATCACATGTTTTCAGAGAATAGACACTTTTAATTCTTTAAAGTGAGCGTAGCAGCTAGAGCCGCCCAGCTGTAAGAATATCCATGTGAACGAACAAATTATCTTCAGATGCAGCTTGCCAAGGCATTTGGTTTTGATTTTATGGCAAATTACTCATCTCAACATGGAGACTGATGCACTTCTGATAAATGCATTCAAAGGCAGAAAAAGAGCTTTCTGCAAACAAAAACGAGCAGTTAAGTACAGAGATATGAAAACTTCAGCGTGCTTTAAATCCAATTAGCAGGCGTGAACAGTGATCCAATGATCCAATACCAAGTCAAATCAAGAGTTTGACATCGCATGATATTACGTCACTGTTTTTATTTGCACAATTTTGCTTGATTCATTCAATATAATCCTCTTTTACACCATCTTTTATATATTTGATCTCGTTTCAAATTGTATTAGTTTATTAGTTTTTTTAGGCAAAGATTTCTTTTGGGTAAAACCCTTTTATATGAATTTGTGTGGAGGACACATTTTAGCCATTGACTTAACCAGGACTCTGTGGATGAATAGACAAATAAAGTCAAATCAAAACAGAATGTTTCATATTCAGTATTAACCATGTAGAAGTTTTCAGTTCAAAAGTAGTAAATCTCTACTACTTTTTTTCTCTTTAAAGTCCAGCAATGGCTTTGTGGACAAACCCTATTTAAGGAATGGGAATACTCTAGCAATAATTAATCTGTCTATTTTAGCTACAATAAACCAGAGCTAAGTTTAGTCGAGTGAACTTCATAATCAAGACTAATTTGCCCCGGAGGGAAACTATTGGCAAGACCTAAATTCATGCACATCAGAGGGAAAAATTGTATATGAGCATGAGCTTTGGGACACATCAGGGTTGAGCATCAAACATGTATCTCAATACACAAATTCCATTCATTACCAAGTTATAATTTATTTCATTTAAGAATGTTTTGATTTAATACAATGTTAAACATGTACAATCAAGAGATCAGAAAGAGAACCTGTCTGACAACATGAAGTAAGCTAAAAGATCTGAAAAGCAACTCCTCATCTAAAGAACTTTAACGACAGATGAGCAACAGACTCACAAATATCTACTGCCATTTCCAAGGCTCGAGAATAAATTCAACTACAGTTTGCCAGATTTTTGTTACATGAAAACTTGATGTCTTGAAGTATTTTATCACATTAAAGCATGCCTTTAGTAAACCACGTTTCATAAAGACATGAGTACATTTGCAGGCCCTATTGGGACACCAGCTTTCAGGCGTTTGCTAAAGTAAAAGACATTAGCCTATCCGCTGCTGCACACTGCTTTCTTCTCTTAGACAGGCTGACTCATCTACATTAAGCTACTGCATGGAACAAGCAGTTCTAATCCATATTCATAAGTGTATAGTCACAATAAGAGAGCATTTTTACCACTTGAAATCATTGCATGCAGTCACAGGTAAATAGCTCACTGTTGTTCTGGATTAATGCAGAAAACAGTGAATGGAAATTAAAAGAGGATGAATGAAGTTTGATTCATTTTGAACATTGTAAGATCCTTATGAATGTAACTTCATCAGAACTCTTAATCTCACACTATAAATACATTGTTACTTCTACATATACTGCATTCATCATAATTTCTCCAAGTTTTCTATGACACTGGATTTATGCAAAACATTATGTAAGTACTAATGCATGCACTAGTTGAGCTGGAGAGTGTAGCACAGATGACCTTATGCATGGCTTTAATTACTCATCAAAAGTAAGCGTTATTGTATACTGACCCGATATTGAAACATTACAACATTTAATTTGTTGCAACAACATTTAATTAGCCTTTGGGGTAAACAGTACTGAAGTATTTGAATTGAACTATATTGAATTGAGTTGAATAGAAGCAAATAAATAAGTTTTTTTAATGTGTTTATCCATTCTGACGGCATTCACACAAACTTTTGAGCTACGTCTGTCAAACTGGAAAATGAAGAACAACTGTACTTCTGAATTTAGTGTCTTTTTTTTAGTAAAGCCTTTCATCAACTTCCTATATCTGCATGAACAGAGTTGTGCAGTGCAGAAAGACGGACAGGTGAAATGAGGAAATATTTAAGTACTTTATTCTCATCTTTACAGTGACAGTATAGACAATTTTATATTTAAATAGCAGTTTTTAGATTGATTTACTACATTCTCCAACATAAAATTCAATGCCCCATCATCACATCGCGTTAGCTTGGCATCTGCAATCCTAATCTATGAACGACTTTAAGTTGAGCAGCACAAACAGTATATGAACTGCTATAGTTACTCACATCTTTGTTGGTGACATCTGCTTGAACCAGGGTTCCGTTCAGACATGGCTCCACATAATGCAGCTCCTCATTGTACTAGAGAAATACAAAAGGAATTTATGAAAGTGAGTCACTAAAACATTCAAACTACTTAAATGACAAATTGTTGAATTTTAAAAATGTGGATTATGAAGACGCAAGAATCTCTATGACAAGCACAAATGCATGCATTGCACAACACACACCCCAACCAGTGCCTGTTGTTTGGTGATAATACCCCTTAATGCATCACTATGAATTAAACTTCAAAGTCCTGGGAAGACAATTGAATTGTGTTTCTCCAAGCCAGTAATTGTGCTCTAATCTGTTTCTGTGTGTGCTGTGTGTGAGAAGCTTTGGACTGAGAATGTGTGTCTATTGCAGAGTGCAATACATATTCCAACTGCAAAAGATTCTTTTCTCTCAAGAGTGTATATAATTTGTTATATTACGTTCGATACTAAAGAGAAAATAATACCATGGTGAGATGCACTCAAAAAAAATAGCTTTGTGAAATAGGAATGACAAACTCATCTGTCAGATTAAGAGATTATTTTTACTCATCCTTTTCAAATTGTCCATTTTTTTCCCAACAGAAGAATTTTCTAATTATCATAATAAGAATATCAAGTGTCACTGAAACATGTGTTCACCATACAAAGAACAGTGACTTCATTATATCTATACTTGTGCTACAAAAGGATTTTACCATTTCCAACGGAAGTTTCAGTAGATAAAAAAATCTGAATATAATCTTTAGGACACAAATGCATTTTCGTACCATTCTTTCTTTGATAAATGCAGATATTACAAAAATATGACTGTTTATGATCCTCTTTAGCCAAAACCCAAACATAAAATGTGTGTGTACAGCAGAACTGCATCAGCCTGAATAAATGATAAGATTAGCCAAAATCCCGAAAGCAGGGAACAACTAAGTCCATCTCTTTTGCATTTCAAATCTTCATTGAAATGATGATTAATTAATTATGAGCATGACAGGACAGAAAGCTCTTTTTTAAAGCATGTTTCTAGTGTGAAAAGGAAAAGATAAATATGGGCGTGTCTTAATGTGTGTGTGCAAGCTTGTTAACTGAGTCAAAATGTTATTGTTACTTTTGAGAACTATAGCTCCTGGGGATGAATGTGTACTCTTAAATATGTTTTAAGGTTAAAGTTGCTGTATGTAACTTTTTTGAAGAATATGTTTTTTACATATTTGTTAAACCTCATAGTGACAGTATGCTATGAGACAGATAATCTATGAAAACACCAGTCTCCATCCTCCAGTCTGAAGAAATGCACTGCTCCTGAACCAGAAATAATCAATCAGAGCCAGGAGGAGGGTCTTAACACTGTCACTCAACCGCATGTACATGCTACTAAATGTGCCGATGGCAGAGAAGCAACTTACAATTGCAGAAAAAATGTTTATCTGCTGTATTCAGTGGCTACGTTACCTAGCCTGAGCATTCACAACAAGGTCATTTTGACAGGAAGAAGTGGAGTCATAGCAGAGAGCGAGGGAGGCGAAGGGCAGGGAGATGAGCATCGCCACCCAAAATTGTGACTGACAGCGCTAAGATGCACCTCCGTGCTCTGATTAGTTGTTTCCAGGTAGCACTGGGAGGAGGCAGAGTAGCTTGATTTTTTTCACAGATTATCTATACTGTTGTGTCACAATGACAGTTTCAACAAATATGTAAAAAAATGTATATTTTTTTATAAAAGTTACCTACTGCAGCTTTAAGACATATGTTTAAAATTGTTCCTGAGTAGCTTTAATATTAGTAGACTAGATTTCTAGGCAATATGATGAATCTGTTTTGGGTGGAGTTTGGGCATCCTCATGCCTGCATGGCTTTCCTCCTGTTATTAGTCCAACATGAACGGGGTGCTTGGAAACTCCTAACTGACCTTTGATGTGAGTATTTGTGTACAGTGTTGTTTGTCTTTATGGAAAGACACATAGTCCCTTACTTTAACTGTGACCCTTAAAATAAGTGAGGGAATACAGAAAATGGACGGGCTGGGTCATAGCTGTCATAGTTAGTAGGATACTTACTGGATTTAAAAGAAAAATATTGGCCTTGAGTCTAGACTTACAGCAATGATATTAAAAAAGTCATCATCTCCAAGAGTGTCTAGAATGGAGGAAACCGTCTGCCTGGCAATGGTAAGTCTCAGGCCTTTCATGCTGCCGCTGACATCCACCAAGATCACCACATCCTTTGGAGAGGTGGCTGCCTGGATGTACCACTTTCGATTACGACAGTCGAAAGCTATAACTCCGTGGTCATCTGGCTTCCATTTGATTCCTGTAAAAGCATTGTATATTTAAAAAAAACTAAACAAATCAGCTGCAGTAGTTTGTGCCATGAATACTTTTATCTAACCCTTTTGTAGTTTTTTAAAACATTCATGATGGTGTTTGTAAAAACTACTCCTTCCAGCATTCTGTTTTTTTGACCTCCAGATTGAAAAACTAATAATAGCATATTTTGTTATATAAAGTTTCAGATATGTAGATAAAACTTGTTTCCTGTCACCAGCATTGAAAAAAACTAAATGCCTCACAAAAGCCACTTCAAGCTGCTTTCATTGGGATTAGTTCTTCAATAGGTGCAATGCATTTTTATTTGAAATTCAAGACAAGGTCGGTGGATTCAAAAACAACAAAATTAGTCATTTTCTTCTATGTTTTTTTATTGAGTTACATGGTGTCCAGAGAGAAATGTAACAATGAAGTAAATCATTTCAACACCTCAGGTTTTCTATTGCATTTATTGAAATAAGAATAAGAATAGGAAGAGGTGATATTCCAAAGACCTAAAAATAGATGCTTTCCTCTGACTCTACAAAATATAAGATTTGCATTTCAAAATATAGGATTTGCATTACATCATCTAATTTCAATCTTTGATTTCTATTTATTACACCTGAGTTTTTTCACTGTCCCACCATCCCATTCAACCACAAACTAATTTATATAAACTCCCCTAGCTTTTTCATTCCAGTCTGATGCATCTCCTCTTTCAAAAAAAAACAAAAACAAAAAAAAAAAACACACTTACCAGGATATTGTCTAAAAAAGCCCTTAGCACTGCCAAAGTATTGCCATATAAGCGAGGGATCCCTCTCAAAGTTATCCACAAACACCTTGTTCAGGGCCTCCGACCAGTACACACCGTTGACAATTGCAGAGTCTATGAAAATACAGTGAGAAAATAGAGAGATCACCGAAAATGAGGTTAATATTTTGAAAGGTTGGAGCTGATAATTGATTTTATCTGCTCATATAATCTTATAAAAATCACATAAAACTAGTCTACACATCTGCATCCTGGCCAAAGTTTTAGAGAAATTGCATAAAAATTGCATAAAAACTATTAGCTTGCTGCTCCTGGTGCACTAAATGTGCTTTGTCTTAGTGGAGACAGCACCACGATATTAAAAAACTTTCAGGTAATTTATATAAGTTAGAACGAGGTATTTCCAGTGGCACTATATGACGTTTTTTTGTACAACTGACCTCTGCGTTCTTCTGCAACAAAAACAGGTGCATGGCTATTCTCTATTAGAAGACGAGTATCTGCAAAGTATCCCATGTGTCCATTTTAAACCTATAAGAACATAGTTGATTTTGGACATAAAACTACAGAAACTGGTGATGTACAATATGGCTCAACACATCCAATTATGATTTCTTGTTTTTAATTTTCAAGCTGAGAGTGTCAAGACTTTACTAGTTAGGAACCAGTCAGCCAAGCTTTTTACAGCTGCTTTCGGCTTCGTTCAGGAGCAGGATGGGAAGGATGGAAACAAAAACAAAAAAAAAATACAAAAAATGACAAAGAGCCAGACACAAAATCATACAGTGAGACAGAAACACAATACCTGCTAGAACGAGCAAGAAAAACAAAACAAAACAAAACAAAAC